CCTTGGTATTTCTCAAGCTTCTCGTGTTCCTTCTTCCTGATGTTGCTATCGCTTGGGATTGCTACATCTAACATTTATCACTACGGCCTTCTTCTTCTGTTTGTCCACCACTACTATGTCCGGTTGGTTGGCCATTACCAGTTTGTCAGTTTGTATCTGGAAGTCCCACAGGATCTTAGCTTGGTCATTCTCAACCACCTTTTGAGGTGTATCCCATTTTGACTTTGGGACTTCCAGACTGTACTCAGCACAGATGTTTCTGTACATTAGAGTCAGCCACTTGGTTATGACGTTCCATGTATCCCCTGCCTGCTAGCATCTTGCACCCTGCTGTAATGTGCTGGATTGTCTCAGGGGCATCTTTGCACAGCCTGCACCTGGTGTCCTGCCTAGTATGGTAGACACCGGCCTCTAGTGATCTTGTACTTAGAGCCTGTTCCTGTGCTGCCAGGATTAGTGCCTCTGTGCTGTCTTTCAGTCCAGCTTTGTCCAGCCACTGGTAGGATTTTTCGAGACCAACAAGCTTATATATAATTATATATTACTTACGACTAAGTCAACTAGTATCTATAGTTGTTAAATAAATATAGTGGAGTAGAAGTATAGTAAGGTAGAGTATAGAAGTAGTATAGCCTATACTGAAAATTAAGTACCTAAAATTTTTGCTTATGTGCAGTAGATATTGCCACCTACTTAGCCCACTTGGTCTTTGTATAATTCTCTTCACATCTACAGCCCGTGTGCTCTATGTGCTGCAGTATATCGTGTATAATGTAAATATTTAATAAAATAAAAATAAAGTAAAATAAAAAACAGACCATTAAAAATTGCCAAGAGTAAGAAGGGGAATGTAATTTGTTCTATCAACATGACATAATTTGAATAATTTAATAGGTACAGTATGTAGGTCAAACATCCATAAAAAAAATAACTTCCTGTTTCTCCTCGGAAGGCTTTAAACATGAATAATAATCGTTGCGTGTATGTTTATTCCGGACTTTCATTTTGGCTGTTAAAATAAGTAAATTAATTATTCATGAGCCTTCTACACCCATCACAGGAAAACACAGCTACGGGGGGTGCGGTCTTTCCTGTGGTCGGGAGCGGAAGCGGAAATTCGGCCATCTCCTCGCATATTCAAGCTACAACAGGGTCAGTACACACTTCATCTAGATATTTATTATGTTGTGTTGTCCACAGATTTTTGACGTTTTGCCTTGTAATGTGAGCGTGTATGTTACGCGTTGCCCAGGATCAGGACGTGTCCTTGTTAAAGCGTGTACAGTCTGGCAGTCCTGTTGCCATTTGCGAACTAGCTAAGTGCTACCTTGCTAGCTGGTTAATCTTTCCTAGCAACAGAGCAGTAAGTGATTTCATTTTCAGTTAAACTGGCAGGTAACCTTAACGTTTGTTTTTAGTCTGGTGATTCGCTGTTGTGACGGGAACGTCACCTTATTTTTGACAATAGTGTGTCTCCTCATGTGTACCTAGCTACACTCTTCTGTACCCCTGTTTACACTTTGCCCAGACTTTACCCAAAACCTTGATGGCACACTGCCTCTCCAGCTGTTTCGATTTGCTTAAGGTTAGAATGGGAGAGTTGCTTGCTAAGGTACGGTAATAACACCAGGTGACAACTAATGTTGCTTGGCAAACTATCTTTATCAATTGTTTATAAATTATATTTCCCATACAGATTGTGTATGACGCTAATGTTTAGCTTAACTTTTTGTTACTGGCATTACATTAGGGTAGCTAGCTTGGAAGATGTGTCAGGGAAATCTGCTGTTGTCTGGCTGGCTAATGATTGCTAACGGCATGGTGGGACTAACTTCTCTGGGTCGTGCAACTTCAAGTGCATGTAAGTGATCGGACCAATAAGTGTCAGAGACTGTGGACACATAAGACAATGTGAAGCCTGAGATACATGTACAAAGAGCGTGTATGTCCCTTATCAGAGATTAGCTTGCGTGTCTGAACTTTGGTACACAGCTTCAGGAGTCACTGAACTGGCTTTTGCAGTTGGTTGCCTTAGGTTCAACATGGTCTCATCTTTGTCTGACCTGCAGAATAGTTGAGTTCTTTTATAGCACATTTGACATGTTACTGGCTTGCCAAAGTACTTTTAAAAACTCGTACAAGTATTTTATGTAGATTTAATCATATTTGTTGAATACAGCACTCATAGAACAAGTTGTACTATATTTAAGAAAGTACGAACCCAGTCTAAAGTATATTCTGCTTTACAAACATATAGAACTGCACTGATGAACGATTATCAGCTGGTCAAACAGCAGAAAAATAATCTGCAAGTATTTTAATAGCTGCTGATTTGTCAGTTTCATTGAGTCATCCATAAGGAAATCGTGCAAAAAGCTCTTATTCCAGATTCTCAAATACTTGTACTTTTATTTCATTATTTTTTTAATGCAGGTAAATGGAATTTCTTGGAGGTTTGGGCAGTTTGTATATGTTACCTTGGGCTTTGGGAATTGTCCAATTTTCATGTTTTCCTGGCACTGTATAGACTGTTATTCCAGAAAGTCATTAAAGGAATTATTGAAAATGATATAATTGTTGGTTTCAGTCCCATAAAGTAAAAAAAAAAGTTCAGATAATCTCACATTTTAGGCTAATGCTGGATGGTGTAAGGTCAGGCTGTTTACTTCCCTGTTACTGTTGGGTCTGCGTGCTATGCAGGAAGGACTGTTGAAGGCTGGGTGAATTGAAAGAGCAGCACTTTTTTTATTCTATTCTGCCAGTGCTTATTTCCCTAGGTAGAGGGAAAAGTTCATACAGTGGGTGGGATTAGTTTATCATCTGCTATAGAAAAGAGATTGTGCCTTCTTCCCTTCATTTCTTGAGAGATGACAGTTGAGATGGTAGTTGAGGGAGTGGCCGAACACTAGAAATACATTTTAAGATTATATTGAATTCCCTCTGATGAGCTTGCTTCAGCAGCCTCCTCTTTTCTCTCTGGTACATCTGCAGAGATGAACATGTCTAAACTGAAATATTGTATAAACAGGCAGAAGAATAACTGGATAATGAGTGAGTGTTTTTTTTTAATAATACAAGACTGATTAGGTCTGAGTTGAGTGAAATTATTTCTGTAGGTGATTTGGTTATTCTGAATGTCAATTTCAAAAAGTTCTTTGTTTACTTTGCCTACCTTTTGTTGTTTTGTGATAACAGCCAAGGTGGCATCTGTTTGGTTAGAAAGTGCAGGTTGTGCCAGTGAAAGGATGCACCTGGTCAGCAACAGCATTTCAACCTGCTGTGCAAGCAGTCAAATGCAGACAATGCTCAGTCAGTACTGAGAGACACTCCGGTACAGTGCCACACAATCATTCTCCACATGCCATTACACCAGCAGCAGGCATGATGTCAAATTCAGACCCCCACCCACCCACCCAGTCAGAAAGCATCATTCATTGCACTAGACAATGTTTTTCCACTAGCTTTGCTAATAACATTCTCACTGAGTCTACACCCTGCTTCGTGTTAATAACTGACTGAGGCAAAAATTTGCATGGTTTTTCACTGTTGCAGGGCAGCTGTTTTGAGGCTTGACAGCTGTATGTTTTGAGAAGTTCTAGGTACATTACTACCTCTCTGTCACTCATTATTGCCTAGACTGTTGGTTATACGGTGTTTTTATTAATCTATTCAGGAGAAATCATGCTACTGGATTTTATGTTCCTGGTAATATAAGTGAATTTATAATGTTGGTAGTTGAATGATAAGGTATAAGTGTTACCTGAAATGAAGTAAATAGATGAATGTTATTACGTAGAAGCCAGCAGGATTCGAAAAGATGTTTCTCTTAAATACAGTATTTATTACTACATCTCCCTGATGGAAAGTTGGCTAAATATTTTTTTAAATGTGAACATAGTTATTTCCTGGAACGGGTGCTACAGTGTGAACTTGAACATGTGAAGTATGTGTCTTACTACTAAAATACCCGACTTCCATCTCGGCTAATGTTAAACCTGCAGCTGCAGTTTAGGTTTTTTTGTTCATACTACCTGCTAAATCTTGAGAAAATAATTATCTTAAACAACTAAAGGGTTATTATTTTCTGTCTAAGAGCTTTACCTTTGATGAGTAAGATAAAGCATGTAACTGATATGTTGTATTTTTGATTATCTGTTGCGTGGATCAGTCAGCACCAGAGCATGTGATTTTTTTGTAGCTGAATATATGCATTGTCTTTATTTTCTAACAGTTATTTTGGAAGTACTACTGGCATAAGTTTTAGCTCGTCTGTTTGTTGTGATGCAGCAGTAATCTCCAAATCACTCTGCATTTGGTATTAATCTGAAAAAACTTCAGCTGGACTAGATTTTTAGGTTGAAGACATTTCACCTGTCATCCAAGAGGATTCATCAGTTCTGATTAATTTGGTATTAATATTACTCTCAATCTTGCTCCATAGTTTTCATCCCCCTACACCTGTGGCTTTGCGACCCAATGTTGCCACAGGAAGAAACAGACAAACTGAGATACAGCTCTCCCTGAATGAGTGACGCACAAGACAGGAAAACAGAAGGACACCAAGAAGAGAGAGCCTTATTCTGCATCATTCTTGTGTAACAGGTGTGCACGACTCTTTGTCCATCTGTTGATGGTAGCAGCTGCATAATTTAAGATTGAGTTCTATGGGCAATGATTTTTGAATATTCAAATAGTCATGGCATTTTTAAAAAATTGAAAATTTCTTGCAACTATGATTTTGTGTTTAAAACAAGGAGCCACTGATTTCCCTTGCTTTTACCAGCGCCTTGAAATAACTTGATAACGAGGTCAGTACAACATTTTACCACAGCTCCAAAAATATAAACAGCAGAAACATGCAGAGACTACAGCCATCAAGAAAAACAGTCACGTCACAGTGGGATAAACTGTATGATGATAATACGTGTGAGCTGTGCAGTAGTTTGACAAGTGTTGAAAAGGTGCCTCTGACCACAGGTGCACGAACAGCGTTTACACCTGAATCGTACAGTAAGTGAGAGTCACCTGCCATTATATAAGAGACCAGAAAAAGCGGAGTGCTGTTCTTCAGACTAAAGCAATGTCGGAGTGACATGCTGCTGAAAACCTGCCGATTTTGCTTTCTGACGCCACAGAACACTGACGGAGCAGTGGGACTGGCACTCTCAGCAACCTTCGAATAATTCAAATAGCATTTTAGCTTGAACTGCCCATCCCTACCATATTCACACTGTCTGTTCTTCCATTCTGACCTTTGTATTTACATACCTCTTCTCTAGTCTTTTTTAAATCTCTTTATCTTCTTGCTCTCTTCTTTCAATAGTCCTCATTTAAATAAGTGTATATGTTGGAAATTAAACAGTTCTGTGCCCTATGACAGCTTTGATTATATTAACTATACTTTACAACCCCTCTTCTCCATCCGTTGTTCAGATCGCATCAGAATTCGACGGCCACACCATTGCCATGTCGACCTCATCGCTACGGCGACAAGTAAAGAACATCGTCCACAACTATTCAGAGGCTGAAATCAAGGTTTTGTGTCCATTCACTCATCTGACTTTTCTTCTCTCTCTCTCTTTTTTACACCCACATCACCCTATGTCCACAACTTATGTGTAGCCCATATATCCCTGTTGCACAGATGACATTATGTATCTGCTGTCAATCTAATATTTCTTTGAAATGACCTACTCCCTCTTTCCCCCTTGTTATACATAGCTTATCTAAACATATTATCCGTTCATTATTTTGCCTCTCTCCAGCTTGTGTCCTGATTGAGTTTGCATCACTTCTTAGAACAGCGTGGGCTACTAAATTGTCACAAAGTAATGACCTGAAGTTATTCTTATCACAGATAGGATGGATGGAATATAATTAATATTTGTCCCCCTACTGTGTTGTTGTCAAGGTTAGAGAAGCGACGTCCAATGACCCCTGGGGTCCCAGCAGCTCTCTGATGTCAGAGATCGCTGATCTGACCTACAATGTTGTGGCCTTCTCAGAAATCATGAGTATGGTGTGGAAACGCCTCAATGACCATGGCAAGAACTGGAGACATGTGTACAAGGTGTGTGAGTTGAAGTTGGTGCATATACTTATGATGCATTATCAACATAATGCACTAATATAACATGTTCTTTCACTGTACATTTTTGATGCACTGGTACCAGTATTGCAGCGGTGTGCATTGTAAAGATATTCTGACACTAGGATATGTACAAAATCACCTCATGTTTACTACATACTTCATTATGTGTGTTGTCTAATGTTTTATTTAGATGTCCATTTTTTGAGTGTGAAATGTATTACATTGAGCCTTCAAAAAGATGGAGTGAAAAATGTACATTATGTTCTTTTGTTACCTACCAATACATGTCCATGACATGTCCACAGTCCCACAGTGCAAAGGGTCCCTTTTTTTATTGTGATAATGCAGAATGACAAAAACTCAGAAATTTCTGCTGAAATCTCAGACAGACCAAATATTGCTAGTTTTATAAAGTGTGTGTGTGTGTGTGTGTGTGTGTGTCCATTCTTCAGAGGTGTGTCTATTTTTTTGTCCTCCCAGCTAGATACATGAGGGTCAGAATAATAGGAGCACCTCTGAATAAATAATGTAGTCCACCACCTTTATCTTTGACCTAAAAAAATCATATAATTGAATTTATACATGTATGACAATTTCACCAAAAACAAACATTTTGAGCTTCATAAACACAGACGTTAAGGTGGAAGGGTTGCATTGGATAGCATACAATTGTACCAACGTACCTAATAAGTGGCTGGTGAGTGTAACATGGAATTGGAAAGGGTTATATATTAACTGCATTACCATTTGCATTTCTACTGTATCAGTGTACAGACCTTTTTATACACCAAGCTGGTTCTGATTTGTATTTTCACCAGGCTATGACTCTTATGGAGTACCTGATTAAGACAGGTTCAGAACGTGTTGCCCAGCAGTGCCGAGAGAACATATATGCAGTCCAGACCCTCAAGGATTTCCAGTACATAGACAGGGATGGCAAAGACCAGGTACACAAGCACTAGTGTCTACAAGGCTGTATAGAAACATAAGGTTATTAGTGAGTAAGGTCCACCTTTATGGAATGCTGGCAAACTGTCAAACATGCTGCTTGTTCATTCAAGGACATTTTACAATAACTTTTTTGACCTCTTGTGCAAATCTACAAAGCCAGCCTTAATTTTTTTTGTTTTTATAACTGAAGCTATGATAAGGTAACAGACTGTTACACTAAATGTAAGGTGTGCACTGTAACTATTTGATGTCTGTTGTGTATGTAATATTGAGCATTATAAACTGTACACCAATTTGCAGCATGTAATACTTTGTTTATACTGCACTTCTATTTTACAAGGGCGTGAATGTGCGAGAGAAAGCCAAACAGCTAGTGACGCTGTTGAAAGATGAAGAGAGACTAAGAGAGGAGAGGATTCATGCCCTCAAAACCAAAGAGAAGATGGCACAGACCTCCAGTGGTGAGGCAGCTGCTTAAAACAGTGTTTATTAGATTCAGCTAGCACTCAGAGTTACAGTATTACCTTTAGAAAAAGGGATGGACTGACACCAAAGGGCCTAGAGTTCATAGTAGTCGATAACCTAAGATAAGCTCTTATCTGTGTATATGCATATGTGTCTTAACTCTAGCTTCCTCGGCTCCCTCAGCACCCAGCCTGGGGGGCAGTCTGTCACTGGGCTCCCACTCCGGAGGGGCAGACCCTGAACAAGCCTGGCCACAGAGCTCTGGAGAGGAAGACCTGCAGCTACAGTTGGCTTTGGCCATGAGTAAAGAAGAGGCAGAGCAGGTAACACAAAGCAGTCTAGCTAGGTTAGTGCTCTCTTAGCTAAATTATTGCAGCACTTAGGCAGAGGGAAATTACTGATAGTATTCACTACATACACTTAGCTTTGCTCTCACCATGTAACCCCTGACCTCCCCCAGACTAGCACGGACCCTCTGGAGGATGCAGAGCTCCGCTATGCAATCACACTCAGCAAAGAGATGCAACAAAAGGTCAGGGGCAGAGAGTGCACCTAGCCGACTGGCCAGCCAGTCACTACCTATCTGTTTTTCTGTCAATTGGAATTTCTCAAACACGCATCAAACATCGATCAATCAAGAAAATTAATTTCTGCTCGTATTTGTCATGTGTCATTTTCCTCAAGTTACAAATTTGCATCAGACTGCAATAATATTGTTGAGATGATTTAGTTTCCTGTACACTGACTTGTTGTTACATAGCGCTTGCACTCATCAAAAGCGTGCAGCGTATGCGCTTTTCATATCCTTGTCAAGATGCATTAAGACTGCACACAAGTGAACACCCAAAGAATTGATTAACTCTGTTGAATTTGCATGGCACTGACAAATATTTACCATAACTAACTCAATTAAACAAGTGGCTTGACGGCACTGATGATTCTTTCCTTCATGTTACCTTCTCTGATAGCATGCCTTCAACTGTCGTCTTGATATGAGATACTCTTTCTTTACCTGTTACATCTAACTAGCTTCCTTCTGCTGTGTTCACTGAGTGGAAAACATGCATGCATTGTACTTCGTTACAGTCCTGCACAAATAGATGTTAGTCTGCGAACTAATGCAGAGAACTGAAAGGAAAAGCCAATGTTGTTAGATACAGTAGCTTCTAGTGTAAGACCTGCTCAGTTCTGTAGCATAAAAAGCATGTTTCCTCACAGATTAATTGGCGTTCTGTTGTTTAACAGTCAGTCCACCTTAGAATGGAGTGGAAAATAAAGTGGCATTTGTCAGTCGGCAAGATCTGAATCATGTCTAATTTTTTTTTTTTGTATTGGTATTAAGCCTGTCCTATTTCGTTTTTTTAAAAATTGTAGCGTACTGTGCTCCAGGTAAGCTAGATGATTAACACACTCTGCTACGTTCAGCTAAAAGACTGTTTATGCTGGGGATTCACTTCATATTTATGTCTAAACCATGTTTTACAGGAGTGTCGTGAGATATAGGGATTGGCCGATTCGCCTTATCTATAGACCGTAGATAATGATGAGAGGTCAGGTTTTCAATTTCCGCGCCCACCATTTCAGACGTGAGTTGAGGAATTGTAAACTGTGGTGAGGTTTCCAAGGTTGTGTGTCTCAGGCTGCTGACATCAGTGTGTGTGTGACTGGCAGGAGGAGAGACTGCGTAGAGGTGATGACCTGAGACTGCAAATGGCCATTGAGGAGAGTAAGAGGGAGAAGCCGAAGTCAGAGGAGGTGAAATGTATCTATAGCGCTCTCTCTCTCTCTCTCTCTCTCCCCCTCCCTCCCTCTTTGTTTTTCTATTTCTTTGTACATGTACACTTTAGCATTGGGTTGATTAGTTAGTTTGATGTCTTTATTAATATACAATATAGAAAATAATAGAGACAAAGAAACTGTTGAATGAGGTGTCTTAACTGTTGACTGTTGTGTACATATTGGCGAATGTATAACAGTAATACATAAACCCCATTTTCCAAATTACAATAAAAACTAAAATATGCCATATGTTAATTTGCTCAAACCATGATTTAACTGACAAAAGTACAAAGAACAGGTTTTCAATGTTTTCACTGACCAACTTAATTTGCACCTTTTGCTGATAATAGCCTGGACAGTTTTTTCATCTTTGGCACAAAGAAGCCAACATCCATTTTTCTCAAAACAAGCTGAAACATGGGCTCGCCTGACCTCAGAACACGTTTCCACTGTCTCTTGCTCCATCGGGGATGAGCTTGGGTCCATTTCCGTCTGTTTCTCAATTCTGTGCATTTTCTCTTTAAACACTTAACTAATATCTATTTTATATTAAAATCCATAATATATTCTGTTTTTCAGAGCACCTTGATGGAGCTGAGTGCTGTGGACCCCTGGGGCGCCCCTGCTGCCACCACTGTGGGTTCTGCTGGCCCCTCTCCTCCACCTACAGTTCCTGCTCCTTCTGCCTCAGGCCCGTGGGGCACAGCTCCCACAGACCCATGGGGCATGGCGTCCCCCACATCCCCTACAAGTTCTGACCCTTGGGGTGGGGGAGCTCCACCCACTATAGCCCCTCCTCCAGACCCCTGGGGAGAGACGTCCAACAGAGTTAACAACGTTGACCCCTGGGGTAGCTCAGGTATGCAGTTACAGCACTGGTCACATATTGACTGTGTAGGCAGTCAGGTTTGTGGGAATGTCCTCACAACTACAGAGAACAGTGTCCTGCTCTGTGGATGAAAGAGGATGTGAAAACTCCTCTTCACTCCACTGCTCCATGTCCTGTTATCAAAACAGCCCCGTTACATTTTCTGTCATGTCACCACACTGTTGTATCTTGTCATCCACTTACATTTTCTGTTTGTCATGAGGAAAGCAAAAATGCTAAATCCATCTCCCTTTATGTCTAAACTAGGGATTTTTATCCTTTTGTTTCATCTCAGGACTGAATGTGGCCATGTCTCAACCAGAGCTCACTCTCTTGCCCTTCTGCCTTTATAATGTATCAGTTAGCTTTTTATTATCTCTCCTTTACCTCCACTGAGCTTCAGATATTGAACAGGTGAAAGTAACATGAACAAATGCTGAAACTCTGCCTTCACTGTCCTCATTTGTTTGCTCAGTGTTACTGGGGAGGTCAAGGAGAGAAATACTGTTAGAACCAGCCCGACTTCCTGATCCCTCCATGTTCTGGATTGTACTGTAAGGTGTTGTGTTAACCCTCCCCTGCCCTGCGTCTCCTCCCCTCCCCTGTAGCTGTGACCCCCCCCAGTGCCGACCCCTGGGGTCCCTCAGTGCCTCCCAGCACTTCCTCCTCGGGGGGGCCAGTAGACCCCTGGGCAAGGGACGGGCCTGTCCCTGCCTCTGACCCTATCAGCTCCGACATCTGGAGTGGCACCGTCAAACACACTAATGGCACAGGTACATTCACACTTAAAGCTACATGGACTCACAAGCATCGAGGTATTCGTACATCTTCCTAGTTTACACACACATATAGGCACTGATTTGTCAAGTTGTCTTGTCCTACATTTCATCCTCCTCTACTACCTGTTGTAATGCTGTTTTATATTGTGGTCTATTAGCTGACATTTTTCTTTCAGTGCTTGACTTGCTATTTCTGTCCATTCTTCATTTCCATTTCTTAGAAGACCCCGAGCGACGAGGGTCTTCAGCAGCAGGCGGTGACGGTACAAGCTCACCAGTGCAATTTGACCTGTCATCTCTCGGTTCTTCACTTCCTGTTCGTAAGACGCCTGAGTCCTTCCTCGGCCCCAACGCAGCATTGGTGGATCTTGATTCCCTGGTATCATCTAAACCCAAACCCAAGCAACCGCCACCTCCTTCCGTCTCTTCCTCTTCAGCACACAACCCCTTAAGTTAAAATTAAATAAAGTACATTCTAAACGGATCATATTAAATGTCATGAACCACAGTGTATCACCATTAACTCAAATATGTTGGGAGAGGTTGACTGAAAAAAAAGAAAGTGGTTTCTCTGAGCAAGCCACCTCCTACACAGTTAATCACCCACCAACCATGTTGGAGACTCTGTGATGACCTGGAGGCAAACTTTGTGGAGCTGTGCCATTATGACATTCCAGGCAACATTGTTGTCATGCACTTAATTAACACCAAGGCGGCTATACAAGAAACAAAGAGATGCATGGGAAATAGTTTCACCAAAAGACTGTGAAGAAAGAACAGTCAACCAATCCCAGCTGACACCGGGCGAGAAGTGGACTACACCCTGTACAGGCTGACAGACAAGCACTCACACCTACAGCACAGGCTCAGGGAGAACATGCCAACTCCACACAGAAAGGCCCTAGTTGGCCACAGGGTTTGAACCCAGAACCTTCTTGCCATGAGGTGACAGTGCTAAACACTGCACCACTCAGGAACATAATGTATGGGTGAAAATCAGATATTCTCATGTGACTTATGTTGCTTTTGTTTTCTATGTTGTCTGTCACCTTTGACACTCAGGTTCATCTCCCGCTCCTGGTATGGCAGTGACTCCTGGCAGCACCATCTCCAGTAGGGGGGTTTCTCCAACACCTGCCTCTTCCAACCCATTTGGCGTGGCCCCATCCATGACTTCCATCTCACCTCAGCCCTCATCTCTCGGCCTGAGTGCCCTCCGCACCAGTCCTGTGCCTCCCAATCCCATGCTGGGCATGGTGCAACCAGGAATGGGCATGGGGCCCATGAGTGTAGGCATGGGGGCTCCAGGAATGGGCCTGAGCATGGTGCAGGCCAGCCCCATGGGCATGCCCTACAGTGGGCTCTCTCCTATGGCACCTCCAGGCTTGGCCCTGGGGGCCGGAGGTGCAGCACCTCCTCAGTTGATTTTGGGTGGGCCCGCTGGAACAGGAGGAGTGATGGGAGCAGGAGGATCAGTGGGAGGTGGAGGGACAACGGGAGCAAGCACCAACCCTTTTCTTCTTTGAGGCAGTGTCACCACTACTTCTGTCTTACCTGCTGCCCCCCCTCATTCATCCCCCCCTTCAACATGATTTGTGTCCAAAAAGAAAAATGTCAGCATCGCTATATTTAAAGAAAAACAGTAAACAAAATCAAAAACTGAGGTTCTTTTCCTTTGAAAGCATTATTTCATTTCAGAGTAATTTTCTACATTTGGTTCCTTTCATTTCAGTATAGGTTATTTTGGGGCAGTAAATGGAGATCTATTTATTTTGTTTAAATCGTGTTCTGTTCTGTATTGGTCTATGTGCTGGTTTTTCTTTTCTTTTCTTTCCCCAGTCCTTTCTGAGATGAAGGTAAGTCTGTGAGAGCAGGAGGCTTTTTCAGTAGTGTCACTCTGTTCTAATAGTACTGCACTGAGAGAGAGAGGGGGGGTTGGGAGACATAGCCACTAACAAACTGAACAGAGAAACTGTTGTACCTGCCTCTTCCTCTTTTCTCGCTCTAGAATGAAGACAAACACTGAATCACTTCAATGAAAGGAACGCATGAAGGATTTTTAATGAACTCCAGACTGAGATACAGACTGAAAAACCTGCTTTAACATTTCAGGCACAATATGGTCAAATTGTTTCAACTAGTCCATTTTTAATTTAATGTTAAATGTAATTTATTTTCTTTCTTTTTTTCAATTTTTGGTAACAAATAAAAGGAAAATCAAACACTGATGCCATTTAAATCACATGCTTATTTTTGCTTTTTCGTCCTGATTATTGACATCTGTGCTCTGATGGAACAAAAAATGACAAGGTGTGTGTGTGCGCGTGTGTGCAGCAAGGTGTGAATGGGAACACAAATGCTCATTTGTGAGTGTGCAAGTATGCAGTAGTATAAATGGCTGTTTATGTGTATATGTTTCAGTGTATGTCGCCATTTTTCCTGTGTCTGCTCTAATTGCAGCAACTCAGAAAGGAAGAAACATTTTTGTTTTGTCATTTGTATTAATACGATGTAATGTTGGGTTTTCAAATGAGGTATTTTAAGAGTTACATGTATCTCTGCCAATGTCATTTCACACTATTTTTATTGTCAATCAGAAGCAGTTTTATTTTCACAATCATGCATTTCATATGGGGTCACTGGTGCACAGGTGTCCCAGGCACTGCTGTCCTCGTGTTTCATTCCTGTTCTCTAGGGAGGGAGGGACATGCTCTGCTTTTTTCAAAAAAAAAAAAAAAAGACAATTATTTCAATGAATGAAAGGAGGGAAAAAACCACCAGGGATGTGATGACATGCTCCATGATGTTCTTTTAATTTAGTTAGCTAAATTTACTGTTATTTTATATCAATGAGAAAAATATCTTTTATCGGGTAAGGTTGAACTTTGTGTGGTGACTGTGAACATTCACATTTGAGAAGTAAAATGGAAGAAAATCTGAAGAAATTTATGAAATAAAACAAAAACACGGGATGTGCATTTGGCTGGTTTTGTGCTTGCTCTGTAGTAACGGTTATGTCCTTATCCCATCTATGTATCATTTCTTCAGTTTACACTTTATTTTCTTTGGAGAACATGTCTGTGAAACTATAACATGACAGAAAACACCCCCCTTCCAACTATTGCATAGATAGGCTAAAAAGTTATTTCAGCATATGAATTTGAATACAGTTTAAAAAAAATTACAACTATCTTAACCTTAAACTGCAGCACTCAGTCATATGTGTCATAACTGGATCCAAAGTTGCTCTCAGAGAAGCTTCGAGATCCACAAAAGTGAGGCTACATTTAGTGAACATGTAAAGAGTCATTTCTCTGAAAAGTTCCGGTTCTCCACGCTGAGAGAGAAAGTCAAATGAGCAGAGAATCCCAGTCAAAGTCATCCTGGATCTCCTCACTGTTGCTGTGCAGACTCTTTAATGGAAGACGCTGTCGAGGTGTCATAGACTGAGGCTGCATCCCAGCTGAGATGGAAAGAGAAACATGGTCTAAATGTTCGAGCAAAGGGAAGTGAAAACTTCTAACAACTTTTAAATAACTTGTGCTTCACAACAGTCAGACTGCAAGTCCTATTTTTTTATGTCTACCTTAATAAAGCAGTTACATGTCCATATGTTCATTGAAACAGTTTTTGGTCACTGTAAATAACTTTTCCTGTCCATAATGGCTTTTAAAGAAATCCCTTTCTAACATCATTCAGCTGAAGCTAATATGGGATCCCTCACTTTGTCTTTCCCTGGACAGTGTTTTCTCACTGAGCTGTGGTGGAGACATAGTATGGAAAAAAAAAATTGGTACTAAAAGCATAAACTTTGATCAATATCAACTTGATCCTCATATCTGTTTCATGTTAATGTGCATTTAACACTAAATACAGACTCTGCATTTTGTCTCCCATCCATCATTCACATTAAAATCTCCTTTAGAAGAGATGCCTTCAGAAAGAAGTGACTGCAGCGAGCACACACTATTTCAGAGTACATAAGTGGGTGTGAGTATTATTTTTTTAAGACAGGCTTGAAAAGTGTGAACCTATCCTTATGAGTCTTTCACAAGCCACACTGGATTCTGCTAAGTTGTGATTAAAAAAAAGCTTACAAGAAAACAACAACATAAATTTAAACTCTTACCGGTTGTATTGGCAGGCTGCATTAGTTGTGGTCTTTGAAGGCCTGGTGCTTGCATGTGCAGAGCCCTCCGGGGCAGCTGTGCTCCGTTGGCGGGGGGTAGTATTGGAGGGTAAGGGAGGGGTGAGGGGTGAGTGAGGCTGGCGAGGGTAGGAGGTGGATTGGAGGTGGCTGGCAGGGCTTGTAAGGGGTGAGGTGCACCGATGGCCAGTGGGGAGTTGTTGCCAGAGGTGATCATGCCTTTCTGAGTGAAGAAGCGGTTCCGAGAGTCACAGAGTTTTTTTCGGGTCCAGCGCCCAGTCGCAGAGCTCTGCCTGCCGCATGCTCTCCAGCAAGTCTGGAAACAACAGAAAATTAGGGAAACGTTTAGAGGTAGGCAGATCTAGAAAATGGGTGTGGAGAACAAGACTGAGAGGAGCACAGACCTGGGTGACCAGAGAGGTCTATGTTTGCCCAGTCTAAATGGCTGGCAATGCGGAAGCTCTCCTTCAGAGAATCTGGGTTACTGAACCAGTCAGGTGGCACAGCTAAAGTGGGAGGCAGGAAAGTAACTTTAGAAAGCAACGTACTGTCTTATGTTGCTGGTTTTAAAAACAGTACAGCATTAGGGAGTTCATAAGATAATGCGAGACTCACTGTACTGTGAAATGCGTTCTGTCTCATGAGGATGTGCAGCTGGTGGAGGTGGTGGAGGTGGTGCAGGCGCAGGGTGAGGAGACAGCGGTAACAGAGTTGGAGTGTGAAGTGGAGTAATGTCATGGTTTGGGGCAGCACCATCCGCTGGAAGAAAAAGAAAATAAGTCCTTTGCCCGAGCCATTTATGTGTGTCATGTATAATTTTTAAAACTAATGTGCACAGAACACCCGTACACACATAGCACTTACACTGCGAGCCTCCCCTCTCACGCATAGTCTTGACGAGAGACTTAAAAGATGCATACAAGTCCGGTAGGTTCAGCTCATCAAAGGTGAAACGCAGTGGAGGATCAGTGTTGTTCAATGAGCCAACAGCAGGGGCAGCAACACATGAAGGCACAGCACATACAGAAGAATGAGCAGGTCCTGATGCGCTGCAAGCTGGCACAGGTGTCGTGTTAGGGGTGCAGGAGAATGTGGAAACAGATACGAGTCCTGAATTAGCAGGAAAAGAATCAGAAGCATCAGAGAACGACGGAGCAGCTGGAGAAGCTGTAGATATACTGGCAGCAGACAGATGTGTAGCAGAAGTAGTGTGGATGGAAAAATGGGGCCCAGGTGAATAGGCAGGTGGAAAAGAATTGATGGTGGCCACTGGAGCAGCAGCTGGGAGCTCAGCTGAAGGAGAGACGGACGAATGAGGGACAGGGAGACTGGAGACGGAGCTTGGCATGTAGGGTGATGGCTGCTGTGAGGATAAAAGATAAGATATTAAGTTAGGTGGTGTTTAATTAAGAAAACCACCCAGAAGAACTGGCTATGATAAAGACAGGAGGAAGTGACTCTACCTTGCATGGGGGAGGAGAAAGGGAAGTAGGCTGGGGAGATTGTTGCTGGATAGTTCCGAGGGGCTCTGCGTTAAGAAGCTGGTGGTCTGTGTGTGGGGCGGTTTGTAGTTGATGAGGGGAGGGACCCCTGTCTGCTTTGGTCCCTGGTACTTGTGGAACCTGTAACAGCACAGTGTTACTGTTTGCAGTGGTGAAAAAGCAATTAAAATCCTGTAAAAAACTAAATGTAGTTAACTCAAGTTATAGTCAAATACAAAATGAAAAATATAAATCAAAAACACAGTTTTTAAATGTAACCCCTGCTTTTATCCCTTCTGGTTTTGAGATACCTCTGCTTCAGTTTCTGTGTCCAGCCCAGTACAACATAAGTGAGTAGTGACTAATCTACAGAAACACTGTAAACAGTTTTTATGGCAACAGTTTCTTCTATATAAAGTAGCCCTATCAAAATTGCTGAAGGCCATGTCTGCAGATTATCCAGAGTAATACTGTTTCTGGAAAGACATTGGTGTTGAATTTTAAGTGTTGAGGAAGCTACTTTGAAAGTGTAGCTTTGCAAACTACCAATTACTTCACTCTGGAAGAAGTTAAAGTTCCCCTAGGGAAAAATCTGGTTTGATTAACTAAAACTACTCACAAAAATTCAATTATTTCAAACTACTCTGTAAAAACAAAAAAGTAAAAATAAAAATTCAAATTTACGCTATTCATGATACAGAATAATAACAAATGCCACTCAGTTGAGTCTATTAGCTGAGACCTAAATATGTCCTAAATAAAACTACATCTAGGCTTTTTACAAGGGCAACAATGCAAAGAATGTTACATTTTGCTGTAAACAAATCTGGGTTTTGTATCATCTAACTACAACTACAACAGTGAAGAAAATATATTTAACTTGTGTTAGGGTGATTTTTATTTTTCAGTAGATATGAATAGAATTAGTTAAGGTTTTTATTATATAGCATACATAAGTCTATATACTTTAATCTCACAGTTATGTTTATGTAGTTACATATCACCCTGTTTAACATCAAAAGGACTGGTTCACTAAAACACTGAATCTCGTTAGATTTACAGCTTTGGCAAAGAGAGTCCACAGTTACTTTACTATCACCACCTGGCAGATGAGCCCAGGGGAATTGGGGTTTACTGGGACACTATGGTCAGTAAACAGAGATTAGATCTGAAGCCAGGAAGAGGAGAAAACTTCAAAGGTAGAACCATTACACACACACACAGGCAGAGCAGTTTTAATTAGTGGAACCGGAAAGCAACGCCTAATATGGAACAGTTAGTTGGAAACAAAGGAAGAAGTAAGTGTCTATGTAGAAATTAAGACAGTATAGGTATTCCTCCCCTTTTTAGGGCGCTGTTCACACCCATTGGAGCAGAGAGGACGATTGGAGGACAGACGGACAGACTGAAGGGCCAATAACGGAAGAGTTAAGTTTAAACCACGGCTTCTCCCCAACAGTTTTTGACCAATTAGATAGTAACACCTTTTCATACAAATATTGTATACCGACAAGTTGAGGACAGTCTTTTCTGTTTTCCCAAAACAGTGAAGATCCATGTGTACATGCTTATTTTGATACGCTAATGCATAATAAATTTCACCCAGTGAAATATCCTTTTATTAGTCTTCTCTTCTCAAATAAAAGAACTCTCCTCACACTTGCAAGGTTTTAGAACATTAGTCTGACTTAATAACTACAAGTATTCAACTTGTGCCTTTTTAGACAATAAAAACAGCTTGAAGAAATTTTGGCATATGATTTTACTTGTCAAAGACGGTCTCTCAAAGACAGTTACACAGTGGTAAAATACAAATAAAAATCATTCATTTCTATTTATGGGTTAAAATATTTTGCAGTTTCAGAACTTAACAACACAAAAAATAAATTGAACTACTTGAATCACCATGCAAATATGAGTGTAGTTGCATGACCATCAAGCTACTGCAAAATGTAGTTAAACTACTAGTTTAATTACATGTAGTCCCCAACACTGTGAACGTTTAATGTATTTCTTTTAATTCTGTAAACACCACAAATGAAGTTTCACTCATTAATTTCTTAAGGTGTATGTAGAACTCTCAGAATTCTCAAACCAGGTTCATACATTTAAAACCTCAGCATATCTGCATGGGTACATACCACCAGAGATAATTTAGTAAAAATGTTTTGTGGTGACCTAACACTGAAGTAAAAGGTATCAGGAATACAATGAACTCGAGTGTCTCGTACAACTGGTCCCTTCAGTGTGTGAAGTGTTTATGAATATGAGCTTTAATCAATTCATCATTGAAATCTTAATCTGCCTAACTTCTGCTTACTTTGATCTAATTAATATAGTTAAAAGTAACATTTGGGGATAAAATGCCAGAATCCCAAAGTTGTGCTTGTACTTTTTTGTATTTTGGGCACAATACAAGTTGAGTAATGTTAAACAACATACCTCGTTCCTCTCCTCTTCCTCCTCTGGATAGGGACGTTTAGGTGCCCTCACTTGATTCACCTCTGCAGGTGCATCCATTGTCCAATAGGAACCCTTGAATGACAATAACGTTAAGTCTTTACCGTTTCTTCCATCTCATACGATGCAAATTCTAACAAAAAGCACGTCTTAACATAAAAAGTAAATCACCTTGCCAGGGTCGCTCTGTGGGCGAGGAACTTTCCTGAAGCACTTATTTAGAGACAGATTATGCCGAATGGAGTTCTGTTAATGACACAGAATTATATAATTCAGGCCTGTATTGGCTGGTGATGCAAATACTGAAATCACCAATCACCAAATGAACCACATTGAACATGCTTCTACTTTAGTTACAAACCTAACAATACTATTTTCTGAGAATATGTTGTTGTTCTACCTTAACGCTTACCTTCCAGCCACGGCCTGCTCGGCTGTAGTAAGGGAAAGTGTCACTGATCCAGGTGTAGATGTCATTCAAGCTTAACTTCCTCTCAGGTGAAGCTGCTATTGCCATAGCGATTAGAGTGGCATAGCTGTGAGGGGGTTTTCCTTTAGAGTTAGACTGAGAAGGGTCTGGCACAGAGGGTAGGAAGTCTCCTCTCTCCCTCCCTCTGTCTTTCTTCTTGTCCCTCTCCGCACCTCCTCCTCCTCTCTCTTTCCCCGGGCGCAGGCTGCTGAATCCCAGCTGAGGCAGCCAGTCAATACTGGTGAGACTAGAGTCCAAGTCAGAGGACATGTCTTTCTTTTTTCACTTTGTCCAGGATCTGAAGGATCAGAAGAGGAAGTACTAGATAAGCATGTTCTTTTACATGTTTACTCTGGACACTGTGGACAACGGTGAGGAACGCCATACTACGTTCACTCATGCCTGTAATTTAATACTGTGGATCGTGCCTGATCCTATACTGCCAATCAATGTCAGTTACAAACCAGTAAGTTGAGACACAGGATACTTCTCTGGTAACTATTCACTGACAAGCAAATGTTGAATGTATCTACATATAAACATGCCAATTCCATCTAGTCTCTAATTTCTCAAGATGAAGAGTGACGTGCTTACCTCTGTGTAGTCACTTGAGGCCCAAGGCCTTAAAGAGTGTTATTATTTGTTGCTGTCATCAGCTGCACACAACTGCAGACAAACTGGTGTCCGTCCTCCCCTTCAGACTGCTCTTTTCAGCATCTTGATCTCCACAAGGCCTCTAGTCATACCTTTGGTTGGTGAAAAGTTTGTGTAACTTTGGAGAACTATACACAAAAACTTATCCGACAGCTTCCTTTTTCTCTCCCTCCCTCTCTCCTTCCCCTCCCTTTCTGACTTTACCCGAATGATGTCACTCACTCCTCCCCCTCTGTAGCATCACTCTTTGTGCCCGCCTCTATGAGCTGGTCCCACCTCTTCAGCCTTTCACAACCTGAAAAAGTTTCTGCACCTCTGGTCCTGGGTGGGCCAGGAGCCAGGAACAACCTGTAACATGTACCTAAAGTTCTTTGGTTGTTTTACTAAGATCCAAACCCTTACTCTATTACTGGGCATGTGGGCTTGATTTAGAAACATGAACACAGAAGCACAGAACAGGAGTACATATTTAAAGTAGCAGCTCACTTTATTGAAGCACTTTATCAGGATGTTGAAAGCAGTGAAATCCTGTACAGTAACAGATCAGAAACAGAAGGACAGGTGATGACCTCCCTACAGACTGCTGAAGAAGGCCAGGAGGCCGGTGTCAGGGGACGGGTGGGCCAAGAGCTTCTGGATCTGTTAAAAATATTGTTAAAACATGTTAATCACTTTCACTTGTCACTTTACTGAGACTGGCCATGTCCTAGTCAACAATCACAGTGATAAAGGTATCACGCAGTTCACAAGACTGTAGACTGGCATTTTATCTGCAGCACTGTCTCAGCAGCACAAGGACTAGAGCTGCAATGACTTGTCAATTAATTGATTGGCTTATCAACAAAAAAATTAACTGGCTGGTCTGATAATGGAATGATCATTTTAGACACAATAAAAGATTAAATAGCAAACCTTGTATGGTTCCAGCTTCTCATATGTGAGAATTTAATATTTTTCTTAGTTACATACAGTAACGTAAACTGAATATCTTTGGTTGGCAAAACAAGCTATCTGAATACCAAACCTTAAAATCTGGGAAAATGCAACTGGAATTTTAACTATTTTCTGACAGAACTGACGTGAGCCCTGATTTTCAGGACTCTTGACTAGACTTGGACTTGAGCACTGATGACTCGGACTCAAACACTGACTGCATTCGGACTCGTAAGTCATAGACGAGGACTTTTTTATTTTTATTTTAAATTTGTTTTGTAATGGGGCTTAATAATTTGAAATAAGATATTAAAACCTATCGGCTCGCACCATGCTGTATCCAACACACTTCCATTGAAGTGTACAATCTACCTTTCTATAAACAACTCTGATGCATCACACTGCCAAGCAATATAGTGATGCAATACACTGTTAGGTTTGGAATCTAAAATGGTGAGAGCTGTGTCAGCTGTGTTTAACGTAGACCTTGACAACAGGGACTTGACTTGGACTAATCTTTGGTGACTCGGACTCAAATGCTGGGGACTTGAGGCTCAACTCGGACATGAGGTTTAGTCACTCAACTACAACACTGTTTCTGACAATATACAGTATAAAAAGAATGATTAATCAGTCAACTGAGTAAACAAGCCGCAGATTAATCAGTGATGAAAATAATCACTAATCTGTAAATGCAGCTCTACTAAGGGCACACCAAGTTTGTTTTGGAGTATACTGTAAATGCTACATTTATGACACATCTAAGCAAGCAAATGTATATCAGTGCAACAAAGAGCAGCTGTAGTAAGCACCTCCTTGAAGTTGGGGTGTTTGGCGTCTTGAACCAGCTGCAGCAGAACAGCCTCTGTGGTGGTAAGGAAAGCTCCACTCTGTTTCAGTCGGGATAGAGCAAATAAACGGTCCGTCTGGCTGTGGAGAAACACAAAAGTGTGGAGCAATACATCACATTTGTAGTTATTGGTGATAATGACCACAGATACATACCTTCTGGATGAGACCGCATCAGCCACAATATGAACCTCCATTCCTTTTTCAAGCAGGTCATATGTTGTGCACTGTGGAAAAACGAGGAGCAGAGGTAAGTATGAGCAAAGTTTTTCCATCAAACTCATCATGCATTAACTGTGGAAACTCTGCGGCACACCATGCTAGAAAAACTAATAGAAATACATATGTACTAACCTAATTACATTACATAATAAAAGCATAATAGCTCATCTGTCTCTCAGTTTTTCTGCCATTTTTACTCCACTAGCATGTATATGCAGCATAAAAATATTATATATCGACACATTTTGAAATTTTGTTAGTGGCTGTTTCATTAACTCTAATTTCTGGTGGACACTGGGTGAAAAAATGTTAACTTGTTAGCAAAAAGGCAACAGATATAAAAAGGAAATCTTTTTATTAGGAATTCATGCAACAAATTGCAGAAGCCACACACTGGTGTGTATGATTATGGTCAGCCATCTTTTACAACTGCATTAAAGTCAACTGGAAAATCAAATAACTGTATTTCCTAATAAATGTAACTACAGTACATATATATAGTATATTCCAAATAAAGTCAGGAAGCATACATGCAGAGAAATAAAGCAAGAAGATTCCAGTTGTACTTGTGTTTTCTTTTTTGATACAGAAAAGGGTGTTACTTTGAGGGCTAAACTGCAGAAACAACAACATGATCTTACTGCGATACAGGCGTGTGCCTCTATTCCACACAATATAATCTGTCTGGGGTTCCCGAGGGTCTGCAGCTCCTTCTCCACACCTTCTATAATCATGGTAAATGAAGTTTTAGTGTGAGCCGTCAGGTCTTCTGCTCCCAGCTCTGGTACTGTGGGACCCAAGCCTTTGGGGTACTGCTCTGTCAAAATAGGAGGAATGCCCAGAACACGACTGGCCTGTGAGATGAAGAGAAGACCCCTCAGATTTGATCTGATCTGTTCAGATATTTAATCTGACAGGCTGATAAGTGGTATGACTGATGGGCATTGAGATACTTGTGATGGTATTGACAACCTGAAGCAATCTGGCCGCGTTGCTGACAATGTCAGTAAAATGGAAGATGTTGGGTCTGAACTTCTCTTGCATGTCACAGAGGAAAAGCACTGCATCTTTAGTGGAGAGCCTGCCAATGTTTGCCACTGCCAGAGCAATTAACAAGAAGAAAATAAACAAAAGGAGTCCTGACACATGAGATGCAATGTACACTCCTGACAACAGACCAATAACACCTGAAGAAATAAGCAATACATTTCATATTTGCTTTAACTTTTTGAAAATTTACTTATTTTTAACAACAAGTTACATTTTGTAAGTACAGGACAGAGGCTTCCTTCGTTGAATGTGAAGTATATCTTCTACGGTGTTGCATTATCTTGGTACTATAATGGTCAAACAGTATCACAGCTATACAATCATGAATTTAGAGCAACACAGAACTTAAATATTACAAAGATAACTTACTGTTGCTGCTTGAATCGTAAAAGTGAAGAGGAGTGGGTCACAGCCAGACTGTAGAGTTCAACTGTCAGTTTTAAGTTTTCAATTCTTGCACGTAAAAGAGATTAACGAACTGGACAATCAACATATGATTACATTAACGCTGTGAAATAATATAAACAACACTATACCGTTATGACCCCAAAGTCAAAATCATAACTTACCTAGCAAGTAGCTAAGAAGAAACCAGATCAAGTCATTTGATCAACAACGCCTTCTCAGAAGCGTATTGACCAATAGGATTACGTGGCCTAGAGATTGATGTTTCCTTGAGCCAATAGCAGCCCACGTTTGTCGCGAATCGCCTCGTCAACTCAGGTGGGTGGGCATAACAAATTAACCCAAAGTGGTGGTGAAGATGTCTGACAATGCAGAGTCTTCGACAGAAACGCAAAAAGAGGAGGTTCAGCCAGACGACCCAACAACAAATGAAGAGAAGAAAAAAAGTAAGAAACAGCAATATGTCGAAATTAATTCTTAGCTAAGGAATGACGGCCATTCGTTTACGGGAAATGTTTTTAATGCTAAAGAAAACAATTCCGGGTATGTGACGTATAAAATAATCGCCATATATTTGGGCCAACTGGAAAGCTGCCTTTTTCTGTGTAGCCAATAAGCATTCAACTTGTTAACATGTGGTACTGTCGTTTCGGTGAATGGCTAAAACTAATGCTAATATTGTGAACGCAACATCTTTTTGTTATTATAGCATAATTTTGAACATTACTTTAAAGAGAAGGTGTGTGTCTCATTAATTTATCAAGTCTTGTGGTAATGCAAATAGCAATAACATATATTATGTATATGGATATTATTAAGTACAAGTAACGAGTTCAAGTTAGCTTAAACATGCCACGGGCAAGTATACTATCTAAACAGTTTTACGAATGGACTGTACAGTTTATAGTTTCACGTTTTGGGGTTAGACGTATTTTGTAGTATTACTGTAACAGTAATTGTGTTTTCCTATATTGTAATTCATTATCTGTTTTCTATACCAGTGCCCACATACAAGTGTCCACAGGAGTTACATTGTTTATAAATACATTAATAAACGCTATAGATTCTGTTTACAATCATATCATATTATAGTGTGTAATAGAAATTTGTCATATTCTTTTAACCGTTTACAAATGCCTAATATGGGGATTTAAAGTAAGTTGTTACTAAACTTTAAATTTTAAATCTCAGTTTGCATATGTATAATTTCACATTCATTGCTGACTGTTGCACATACAGCTGATGTAGCATATATTCTTATTTCTTTAGACCTCTGATTAAGAAGCCAGGCCTTGATCAAACTGTTTTGAACAATTTTAGACCTATTTCTAAGCTGTCTTTTATTTCGAAAATTTTAGAAAAGGTGGTGTATACACACTTGAAATCCTTTTTAGATGAGCAGAACTTGCTGGAAGTCTTTCAATTGGGTTTTAAAACCCGGCATAGCACAGAATCAGCCCTGTTGAGGGTTTTTAATGATATTTATATGGCAACTGATGCTGGCAATTTTGTGGTTCTTGTTTTATTGAATTTGACAGCTGCCTTTGATATGGTTGACCATGATATTTTGATATTGCGACTGGAACAATTCGTGGGTATCCGGGGCAGTGCCCTGGAGTGGTTTAGGTCGTATCTGTCGGGCAGGACGATGTCTGTTGGGCTCGCAGATATTGAATCCTCATCCTCAGTGATAGCGTCTGGGGTACCGCAGGGCTCTGTGTTAGGGCCACTGCTCTTCTCCTTATATCTTCTTCCTCTGGGCAGTATTTTTAGAAAGTACGGTGTTTCATTTCACTGTTACGCTGATGATGTTCAAATGTATCTGCCACTGAGGGGTTTGGACTTAGCCTCGGTTACACCACTATTGTCTTGTTTTGGTGAGGTGAAGAATTGGATGTTTCTAAATCTTTTAAAATTAAATGATGCTAAGACTGAGGTGGTAGTGCTTAGCCCGAGCAATGTTAGTGAGCTCCCCCTAATGGACTTTGGCTGTTTGATGCAGTATGTACAGCCAATTGTTACTAGCCTAGGGGTCAAAGTTGACTCGGGTCTTAAGTTGGAAAGCCAAGTAAGTGTGGTGGTAAAGGCTAGTTTTTTTCACCTGCGACGGCTGGCAAAAATAAAACCATTTCTTCCAAGGAAACACTTTGAGACAGCAATACATGCATTTATAACATCTCGCTTAGATTACTGTAACTCGCTTTATTTTGGGGTTAATCAGAGGTCTCTCGATCGCCTACAGAAGATTCAGAATGCGGCTGCTCGACTGCTGGTTGGTGGGAGAAAAAGGGAGCATATAACGCCCGTTTTGGCTTCTCTGCACTGGTTACCAGTGCATCTTAGAATTCATTTTAAGATTCTTTTGTTTGTATATAAGGCTGTGAATGGACTGGCACCACCTTACATGTCAGAGCTACTACTAATGACAGCTGTTGCCGTGCATCAGATCTGACGAGCTGATTAAGGTCTGAAACCTTGTGAGAGACTTTGAGACTCTGGAACTCTTAGAGTGCCCAAACATTTGCACTGTGCCATAATAATGTTTTTATTTTTTATTTTTTCCATTTCCAAGAGAGACTGTGTTAACATCTTTTCAAATAAAAAATCACCAAAATCTGTTATTTATCAGGGGTGCCTAAACTTTTGCATGAGACTGGCATTCATTGTGGACAACAAAGGAAGAATTTCATTGTGCAGGGAAACATGTTTCCTTACTGTACATATGACAATAAGCATTTTGATTTTATTTGATTTGATTAACTTAGCTAATAGAGTTGTTTTGGGGAAAATGTTTTATTTATACACATATATATAATGTTTCAAAATATATTAGTATTGATTCACATGTTATTAACTAATAAAAATAAATAAAATCTATCTAATAATTTTAGTAAGCGTGTGAACGTAAAAATAATAATCACTTTATTTGGCCAAGTATGTTACACACACAAGGAATTTGTGTTAGTTTTTCTTCATTTAAAAATAAATTTTTAAAAAATAAAACAAATTCTGTAGTATTCTTTAGTGAAAGCCCACCATCATAGTTTTTGTTTTTCCACCCTGGTACAGTGATCATGTGTGAATTTAACTAGTACTTTTTGAGGTTTAGATTCGTCTAGACCTGTCTGGGTGACAGCAGTAGTTTCACTTCTAAGTTCTCCTCTCCTCTTCTCTTTATAGTTGATGTTCTGCTGAAGGCAGTGGGAGACACTCCTATAATGAAAACAAGGAAGTGGGCAGTGGAGCGGGGGAGGACGGTGCAGTCCCTTTCTCAGTTCATCTCTCGCTTCCTCAAGCTTGATGCCAGTGAACAACTGGTAAGAAATAAGTTTATCTTCTGGTTCATTTGATCTGCTCTTTCAAGTCATTACATCTAACTGAATCTGTTGTTTCTTTCAGTTCATCTATGTTAACCAGTCTTTTGCCCCCTCGCCGGATCAAGAAGCCGGTGTCCTCTTTGATGTGAGTACACATAAACTGTTTTAATGCCTTATGGTAGTAACTTGTTCTGCATTTTCCTCAACCTAAAGTAACTGTAATGACAGTCAGCAATGACTGCTTCTGAAAAAAAAGAAACAAGCATATACACAAAAGAGCAGTATATCAACAAAAAGTCCATCCACAGATAGCTGTAAATACTGTTGGTGAATCAGAGATAAACATTTAGTTCAAATAGATAGACAGGCCAGACCTAGTAATATTTATTTGGCATGTAGTCTCTTAGCCGTTAATAAGATATTAGAATAGTAGCCTGGCACTAAGCCTTGTAATTGGTAAGCCTATAGACCCAGCCCATGAGTCATGCTGAGCTTTGACCAGCAGAGGGGGCAATAAGTTGGAAGCACCATGTGACTCATGCTAAACCCCTCCTGATTTATGTATTCATAAATAACTGCAAAGACCTCCAGAGTCCAGAATTCACAGTGCACAGTTTATCATCCCACTGCACTCCCCGCTTGAAAGGTCAAAATTGAATAAAGACTTTGTTCTTTGTTGTTAAAATCAATTTTACACACTAATTTTGGAACTCTTTTGTCTGTTGCATCATCCCTCTGTCTTACTTTTATATTTAACACTAACATTTATGTCTTTCCCCCACCTCTGTTTGTGTCTTTTTCAGTGTTTTGGCAGTGATGGCAAGTTGGTTCTACATTACTGTAAATCTCAAGCCTGGGGTTAAGCTGCTTCCTATGACTCTACTTCTGATTCCCTCCTTAAATTTATCCTCCAAACATACACACAATATTATTTTTTCTTCTTGGCAATTTTTCTTTTGTTTTTTATGTACATAAACATTGTAAATAAATTATTGTGACAATATAAGCTTCTTTGCCCTGTATATTTTAAAACATCACCCTGAAAAATAATTCAATATCAGGTAAAAGACAATATTGTAACGTTATGCAGCTTAAACCAGTGATAAAAGTTTAGGCAAGGAACCGCCTCTGAAAAGGGACAGACATAGGATGAGGAGCACTACAGTAACAGATGGACATAGAGGGATTACATGCTTCAGGATGGGTTTGTGATATAAATTCCCAAAAAATACAGAAAAGAGAGTAGAGTGCCATAGGGACAGACACTCAGTTGCCCCATCAATCTTGCATCTCCATCTAACTACTGGGCAGGAGGATTTAAAGGGGGAAGTGCAGCTGGAGAGGGAATGGTCACCGATTCTCATCAATGAGGAGGACGGATTCAGAGGGGAAAGATAAAGAGTGCAGTGACATGGAGAATCTGTTCAAGATGGAGCAACTAAAACCAAATTCTTAAGGAGTTTTTGATTAAAGACACTTGAATGAGGCAGAGATAACGGAGGGTTGCAGGGTCAGAGGGCTGTAAGAAGTGGCAAGTGAAGGGATTGTTTCACTGTGATGATGGTTACCTCATGTTTGACCTGAAGTACTGCAGGGGACAAGAACAAGTCTTTGGTAGGTACTTGTCATTGACTATTTTAAAATAAGTAGATCTGAAATGATAAGTCACTCATCAGATAAATTAATCAACAGCTATCTTGATAATTGTTTCAATCAGTTCTTTTTTTAACTTTTTTAACAACAACAAAAAAAACATACCAAAGAGCTGATAGTTCCAGCTTCTTAAATGTGAGTATTTTACACTTTAATTTATGATAAATAAATGCAAGTACCCTGTCATCTGGAAAAATTTAATGAACATTTTTACGATTTTCTGACATATAGATTTTAAAATTTGTAATTATTGCAACCTAAAAATAACTATACTGCCACTCCTCTTTTTAAAAGACTTTCTGATGTATTGATAACATTATGATATTTTGCCTCTGAATGCAAGTCAAGTGAAGCAGATGTTTCCAAATCCTAGCTGACAAACCTGTCAGTGCATCTGAAAACCAGTAACCTCATGCATATCACAGAACTCAGTTTATGTTGGGGAATGAATTTCCAAGTCTTCCTATAAAATTAGGATATCTAATATTAGTTTTTAGGTCTTATTCAAGCTTGATAATTGCTGTTCTAGCTAATTCTGCAGTGAATTAGCCAGGCATGCAACTTGCTGTACTCACTGTTCATTGGTCACACTCAAAATGCTATCATTCCGATCGTTGAACAAACTGAAGAGTAATGTTATGAATGGTTTTTTTTCCTGAGAGAAAATTAGCTGTTTGCATGATTTTACTTAATGGTCACAAAGAAGTAGACAATATCATGGTTTCAGATAACTCTTAAGGGTAACCAGAATTACAATAATATCAGTAATATTTATGTATATTTAAAGTACATACATTTCAGAAGGAATACAGTATATTGCAGGATTTAAAGATATTTTACAACTTCTGCAGCTCATGCAGAAGTTTTTATAAATAACAATAAACACGTGTACAGGTTTATAGAATTTTAGCACTGAAAATTTATATAAAATAACATTTTGACTGTGGTTCAGTGGGTAAAGCAGTTGTCTCCCAACTAGAGGGTCAGAGGTTTGAATCTCGGTGCCTGCAGTCCACGTGTTGAACTGTCCATGGACAAGACACTGAACCTCCAAGTTGTCCCTGATGGTTAGAGCCATCGATGTAAGTTGGTGCCACAGATGGCTGCCTCGGTTCTGTACCGGAAACAAATTCCTTGTGTGTAACATACTTGGCCAAATACAGGTGATTATTATTTCAGGGGCTGTGAGCTGACAGGGAGACACTGTAGGAGACAGCAGACATGGCCACACTACATCACACCTAACACAAACGGATTAAAGCAGATTATCAGGGATTACTGGCAAAAATTTTATTTCAATCTATGTCTTATCCATAATTTCATCAAAAAAGTAATCTGTTGTTTTGCTCCCCTCCATCTTGTCTTCTACATAGGGTCCAGCAGTGGAGTCGATAATGAGCAGCAGGGTCAGGGCTAAGTGTGTCACTCAGGAAACTGTCAAATATTAGCGTGGGTGAAAGGACAGCATTCATTACTTTTTTTTTTCATATCCTCTTCCTATAAACAGCTGGGTGACCTTTTTGATCTCAGGAAGTATAACAACATGCCCTGAGTCCATGTCACCATATTGACACCTTGATATTAGCTTTTGGTTGCTCTATTCAGCAATCTGATGAATGAAATGTAAGAATGCCTCCTATGTCTTCTTTAGGTATGATAGGTATGAGTATAAATTCTAGCATTTTCAAATGACCTTATGCTACTGTTACATTGATCTACTACATGCACACTTTTTCTTTTTTTAAGTGTTAAGGTCACATCATTGACTCCAGGGATCAATAGCGGGTTAACACATTAAAGCTGTGTGAACAGCATACTGTTATGTCTTTGCATCCCACTGTTCTCTCCTCCTGTGAGCCACTGTGCACCCAAATCCTCTCTTTCTCTCTCATTTTTTATTTCCACCTTTCCTTTCCTATGTGTATCAACTTCAGAGCCTCCTATCCTGCTCCCTCCCCTCTCATTCTCTTTATCTTCCACCATTTTAATCATGCTGACTTTACAGTATCTCTTTGTCAGCTTTGTTTTGTTTCCTTCTGTTTGTACTGTTACATCACATTTATTGTTGCTTTCCATTTAATCCTGGCAGCTCATCACCTCTTAAAGCCTCTGTTCTTCCCTCTTGGTTCCATCTGTGACTGTATTAATACCCTCTCTCCCATTTCTCTTATTTCCACAAGCAGTCTTTCCTTTCTGCCCCTTCCCCTTCTTTCCCTTACTGTCTCCCCTCTCTTGCTCTCTAACCCCCACCACCACCACCACCACCTCCCTTCTTCTCCTCTGTGGCCATGCTGAAGAATATGTCCCGTCGTGCTCGCTCCCTGCTCTCCCTGACCTTGACTACTCTGGCTCTGGCCCTCTCCATCCTCGCTCTTTGCACCTCTTACTGGTGTGAGGGCACTCATAAGGTGGTCAAGCCCCTCTGCCTGTCGCCTGTCAAAATGAAGAACTGTGGTCAGAACAACAGCGAGCCTTACACCACAGGTATTGAGATGTTGTACTCTCTTTTACCTCTACACATCACAAGGTGTTTTGTGGTGCTCCACTATGCTTCCAAATATGTTATTTTTTCCATTCAAACTGTGTAACTTAAGGTAGCACTAGCATGAAACTCCAAATCAATCCACTCTGCTCTGTGCAGCACTCCCTGCTCTACTGTGCTCTACTATGATCTACTACTCTCTGCCCAGCTCTTCAGATATTTGTTGTCATGAAATTACATTAAATGAGTGCAACAAAATGTACCGATCAAGCAGAAATAATTGTAAATCTCTGATTGGTTAGAGAGGTCAGTCCCACTCAAAATCCTTTAGATGTGAATCTTTACACTGCTGCCAGTGGTGTTCAATGAGTCTGAGGCCCCTTTCCCACTGCCCAAAAACTCGTGTAAACTGGCCACACCTTGGCTTTTGATGACAGTGGGAATGCAACTACTGCTGTCAACTACTATGCAAGCAGCTCTCTCCAGATTTTGATAATGATTTGTTTTTGTAGAGCAGGCAGGGTGCAGAAATTCAGTTCCTAGTCAGTGAAACTTTAACATGATCAAGATGTTTAGTCAACAACATTTGATCTCATCCATGCTGAATGCATTTTATGCCAATTCTTAAAATAAAGGTTCTTAAAATGTGTGTATTTTTCTGCTTAAAACCTTTTCTGACAAACAAGGGCCTAAAGCAAAAGAAATTTATGCCAAGTTCCCCTCCCCATGGCTAACTAGTGTATTAAGCTACAGTGAACATGAAGCAACTGTAGGCCATGAGAATATGTCATGGATATGTTCCTTGCCTGCTTTGAAGAGTTGCACCCAGTATATGCTGAGTTATGCCCGAGGCACCGCCCCATTGTCCAAAACAGGCACAAAAATGAACATAAGATGCTCTTCTCAGTGTTACCTTTTTTGTGTTGTCACATAGAGAGTCCTACTCAGAGCCCCTTCAACCGTACACTGTCTCCAGCCAGGAGAGACGAGCTGGCCAAGATCAAGCAGCGGCAGCTGGCAAACGCAGTGCACTACATCTGGGAGACAGGGGAAGACAAGTTTGCTTTTAGATACTTCCACACTGGCTTCTGGGAAAGCTGTGAGAAACACAGCGATGGTGAGACCACAAAACAGATGCCCAGTCATACTCACAGTACTTACTTGGTCTTGGTCTCAGTGTTAGGCAGTTTCTTTTTTTCATATCTGTGAATTTTGTTGGCAGGAGAGAAATGTCGAAGCTTTATAGAGTTAACACCGGGGGAAACACAAGGTAGTACACTAATACAGTATGAAAAACATCAGCTATTAGTTTGGCCCAGTTGTAGTAGTTTTCCTATATGGATGTGTGTGTGTGTGTGTGTGTGTGTGTGTGTCCACTGAGTATGTCTTTTCAAATGTTGCAGGTGTGCTCTGGCTGTCAGTTATTTCAGAGTTTACATACATTGGCTTACTTGGAATGGGTTTCTTACTGATGTGGCTGGAAGTCTTGTGCTGTCATAAAGAAATGTGCTCGCTAAAACTCAATGCCTTTGCAGCTATCTGTACTGTGTTATCAGGTGAGATGTACTGTCTTCTTTAATTTCACTCCATATATGTCCAAAATCATTCTCCATTAATAAGGTAATCTGGGATGAATTCCCAGATTTAGTTAATAGATTTGTTTGTTTCATCTCCCACATAGGTCTTCTTGGGATGGTGGCTCATATGATGTACACCACAGTATTTCAGATGACAGTCATTGTAGGCCCTAAAGACTGGAGGCCTCAGTCCTGGGACTATGGCTGGTCATTTGCGTAGGTGGCTGCTGCTTAGAGAGAGCATACAAGCATGTGCATAAAATACCTGTTATCTGCAGAATATAGTGATATATGCCTCTACTCTCCTAACTATTCTAAATATCCTCTGTTCCTAGTCTTGCCTGGGTGTCCTTCAGTTGCTGTATGGGGGCCGCAGTGGTCACACTCAACTCCTACACAAAGACCATCATTGAGCGCCGTCGCAGAGAGATGCTCCGATTTGAGGAAGAGAGAGCTGCCACTCGTGCACCATCCTATGATGAGGTTGTTCCAGGTGGTGGGCTCTACTCGGTCACTGGCCTATTGCAGTGTCCAGATGGCATGATTGACGTGGCATGGGCCCCAAATGGCAGTGTGATTGGAGTGGGAAATGGGGATGTACCAACTCTAGTTTTGGTAGAAAGCTGTGGGCCAGAAGGGTGTGAGGACTGTGAGAGGGAGATGGATGAGATGGAGGAAGAGGCCAGTGACCAAGTTGATTCACCTTGTTAGGAGATCTATGACACATGTCAGAACAGAGGGCTGAAAAACTGAAAAAGGAAAGACCTTGCAGGAGAAGAATCAATGTGAGCAAACAGATGCTGTTTTTCTTTTCTCCCACTTTGCATGATCTTGGGATGTACCAAACAAACTTGAAATCGATTAAGTTATTATGTCTCAAAATGTCAAGTCTACATAGCACTGTCATCTCACATCAAGAATGTTTTGGGTTCGAGCCCCAGCCAACCCGGTGCCTTTCTGCGTGGAGTTTGTATGTTGTCCTTGTGCCTGTGTGGGTTCCCTCCAGGTACTCCAGCTTCCTCCCACAGTCCAAAGACATGCAGCTTAGGTAGATTGGTGGCTCTAAATTGCCTGTAGGAGTGAATGTGGGTGGCTGTTTGTCTACATGTCAGCGCTGTGATAGACTTGTGACCCCAGTGTCAACTGGGATTGGCTCCAGCCCCTGCAACCCTATTCAGGAGTAAGTGGTACAGATGATAGATGGATGGATGTAAAGCCTACATTGTATGTAGGTCACAGTCAGATGCAAGAATGTGTTCTGGGTGTTTCTCATTGTCTCATGTGGGGTACACCCTGGACAGGTTGCCAATCCATCGCAGAATGTGTATATTATTTTACTGTTTATAATGTATATTAACTTGCTGATTCTCAACAGAGCAGCTTGACCTTTAGAGTAACTATACAATTAGGTGGTCAGCTGATATGGGTTTTTCAATGGCTGATAGTTATCTTTAGAGAGCACGGAGGCCCATAGATTCAAGATTCAAGATTTTTATTTGCCATTTAAGCATAAACAGACAGTCTAGGCATATAGGAATTCTTGTGCAGCTCTCCTTTGGAATCAGGTAAGGAGTCAAAAGCCAGAAAGAACACTTAGTCTTAAAATAAAAAAGTTACATAAAGGCAACAAAGCATTAAAATTGGAATACACAAAAATAGGGTAATAGTATTTCCCACAGTGAACTTCAAACATCGCACTTAGTAATTCACATGGTGGAGTTGGATATGTCATTAC